ATGATGAAATTCTCGCTTGCAACTTTCATCAGCTAGCTGAAACCAGGCCACCTTACGTTGGAATGGGGTCTTGGGTGTACACCCACCACCGGAGTGGAAGAATGGCAGGCGCATCTTACAGATGACAAATCGATGGTTAGAGGGCAGATCGGCTCTACGGTAGGTCCTGGTGTCAAGGACATGGGCCCGCATCCGCTGATCCATCACTATGTAGTCCAGCAGATGTTCTTGCCTGGACCCGGCATGCATCCATGATGTTGTATGGATGCGCCGATGCCTGAACAGCGTGTTGGTAATTACAAGCCCATGGGCTGCACAAAAATCTAACAGCCTCCTACCGTTGTTATTGAGCTGATTTGGCCCATGTCTAGCAATCACTCCAGACCAGGTGCCAGCATCATGACCAACTCGGGCATTGAAGTCACCCAACAAGATGACTCTATCCCGAGGGGCCACTTTAGCCAGCACCTGTGACAGGAGGCCATAGAAGGCATCTGGCTCATCGGCCTTGCCTACATCCCTCCACGGATGTTCGTCTTCGGTGAGGGCATAAGTAACCACAACCACCACTGCTCGCCTCCGGTTGATGGGAAGGTGCGCCCAAAGTATCCTGGGGCTTACAGCTTCCCACACCTACCGCCACGCTTCCACGCCCCCTTCAATCTTTTGTTCAGAAGAAGAGCCACTCCCTGTTATTTGGTAGTCTCCTGCCCCGAGTAGAGGACTGTCCACCTCCTGAATGCCACAGAGATCCAAGCGGTACCAGTCCAGCTCCCGACAGAGGAGTGGCAGCCTCTCCTCCGCAGTGCGTGTTCGAACATTCCATGTGGCCATCCGTAGTGCTGTTAGCGAGCACCAATGAAGGCCGGAATGGTACACGAGGGGGTGGGTGGCCAGCACCACGCCCGACCGCCTTTGTCTCCCCAGTGGCGATGTTTACACACTGCACCAGGTACTAATTTCAGGCTGAGTCGACCTAGGGGAGGCCCAGGACCGGTTCAGATAATCGTCACTGGTGTTGGCCGTGAGAGGGAATCGAACCCGGGTCGCCAGGGTCATAGCGCAGCGCGCTAACCGCTACACCACCGCTCCCCACACACACAATCCACACCACCGACACCAAACACACACACCACGTACAGCACACATACACCACCCACACACCACCTACACCACCCACACACCATCTGCACCACCCATGCACCACCTACACCGCACGCACACACCACCTACACCGCACGCACACACCACCTACACCACACGCACACACCACCAACACCGCATCCACACACCACCTACACACCACCGACACCACACATACACACCCCACCTGCACTACAAACCTACACACACATCACCTACACCACCCACACACACACCACCCACACACACCACCTACACCACCCACACACACCACCTACACCACCCACACACACCACCTATAAACCACCTACACCACACACACCACCTACACCACAAATCACTACACACACCGCCTACTCCACACACACACGCCACCACCACACACACACCACCTACACCACACACACACACTACACACCCCTACCACCTACACACCACCTACACCACACACATTACCTACCTCACACACACACCACCCACACACCACACACACCACCTAAACCACCTACACCACACACACACCACCTACACCACCTCCACTAAACCTACACCACACACCACCTACACTACACACACACCACCTACACACCTACACCACCAACACCACACGCACACCACACACACCACCCAAACCCACCCCACACACACACCACCTACACCACCCACACACCACCTACACCACCCACACACCACCTACACTACACACACCACCCACACACACCTACACCACACACACACCACCCACACACCACACTACACCCACACACCACACACATCACCCACACCACACACACCTACACCACACACACACCACCCACACACCACCCACACACACCCACCCACACACCACACACATCACCCACACCACACCCACACACACCACCCACACACCACACAAACACCACCCACACACACCCACCCACACACCACACACATCACCCACACCACACCACACACACACCACCCACACACCACCCACACACACCCACCCACACACCACACACATCACCCACACCACACCCACACACACCACACACACACCACACAACCCACAGGAGGAGAAGGGGGGGAGACCACTCCACCACCACCGCCCCTCCTCCTCCTCTGCCATTCCCCGCCCCCCACCGCCTCTCGCCCTCCCGCACTCCGCCGCTCTCGCTACCGAGGTTCGCACGCTTTGTAACCACTGCGGGGCAACCCACCACACCCCCCTGTCTCTTCCCGGCGCCTTGTAAGAACCCCCAGGTAAATAGAGAATATATAAAAATATAAAGGAAGGGACAAAAAAAGGCTTCTCCGGGAGGGGACGGTGAAGACGTTGAGAGAGAGAGAGGCAAAGTTGGGGGGTGTGTGGGAGGAGGAGGAGGGCAAAGCGAGACGAGAGAATTACCACAGGGACAGAGAGAAAATACGAGGAGGTGGTGTTGGTGTGGAGGAGAGGAAGACGTGGACAGGAGAGGGGGAGACACAGAGGAGAGACAGGAGGAGACACAGGAGAGGAGAGAGACTCCCCGCCTTGAGCTGCTGCTGCTGCTTCACTGCCACGGCCTGGACGCCGCGGCGCTCGCGTTTGTGTGTAGCCGCTTCACTCATTCCCCTCCTCCTCCTTCTTCCCCTCCTCCTTCCCCTCCTTCTTCTCCTCCTTCCCCACCCCACCACCACCTTCTCCTCTGCCCCCCACACACACACACATCCCCCCCCACACACACACCATCTCAAGCACTGCCCGTGGCAGTGCTCGAGGACGCCACGCTAGGAGGTGGTTGCATTCGATAAGAGACGTGCAAGGAATGAGAGGACGGTACGGAGAGCTGATGATGATGATGCTTCTGCTGATGATGATGATGCTGCTGATGGTATCGTCACCATCGTCGGTGATGATGTTGGTGGAGGCGGGCGTCGTTACGAGGGGGGTGGGGGGGCGTTGGTGGCGGACGGGGAAGAAGGTGGAGACTACGTGCGGTTGCTGGTGGTGGTGGATTTTTTCCCTCTTTAATTATTATTATTATTACTACTCGTATTAGCAAAACGCATTTGCGGCCGATTTCATTGTCGTTGTTGTTTTGTAATCGCCCAACATTGCTGTTGTTGTAGTTGACGATCGCAAAGTCGTTGTCCGCCGCAAGCAAATCGCGGCCTCCTCGTCGAGGCCTCGGGGCCCGCGGCGCCTCGACTCGCGATTCGCGTAAATCATCGCGCACCTCCTGGTTCGCGTGCCTTTAGGGGGTTCGTGTCGGCAAAAAGTGCAGTTTTAGAAGACGTCGATTGCCTCTGTAGCCTCGGTGAGAACCCGTTTCGTGTGTGTTTTTTTAATCGACGGGGAATTGTCAAAATGAACGATTTGTGCGGGGAGGCGGCGAAGGGGTTTTGTGTTTTTGGCGCGGGGCCTGGTGAAGGCCTCGTCGCTTTAGTCGCGATTAGAAGAGATTTAATGACCGACGGGGGGTGTTAAGGTAACGGCGATATTCAACAACGGAGCAGCAGAGTGCAAATGGACGACTTTTTAAATTATTAATGAATCAACTGAAGGTGGTTGGGTTTTATTATTGAACGCGTTTCTTTAAAGCAGCGACACCCTGCGTCCGAGGCCTACGCTGGAGGTCGCACTCGTGTCGACTTGAGACTCTTTTGTGTTTGCTACGTTCTGTTATTTTTTTTTACTGCATCTGCTAATTGCATTGAAGATTGTTATTCTTTTCTAGTGAGGCGATCAAAGTCATCTGTTCGTGACGGGTATTGCAGGAGGCGTGCTGGTAGCGATACGTACATGGTTTATTCTGCTGTAATGTTTAGTACTGTACCGTGGAGCAACATATATGTAGCATTGGCAGGAAGTGCATTAAATGTGTTTCGTTTGCTTAGTCCTGGACACACGTGTTTTAAATGCTGCGTTGACGTGTTGCACTACTTGAGTATGTACTGTGTTGTATACATGGTATAGGACGTTCATGGTTTCCGATAGCAAACGTGCACAGATCAATATCCTAATTCAGCACCGGCCTATAACATAAACTGCTGTATGCAAATGTTTCGGGCAATAACCCTTTAGAATAAAGGGCGATATATTAAATGTACACTTTAAAGGAAAGAACTCGTTCCCCTTAGTCGACCTCGTTGCCTAAAACGTGTAGCCCCTTGTAGCTTTCTGCTGGCTGGCAGGGTGGTGACTCAAGTAATATTTAGATTAATGTCTTAGCGAGTGTTTAAATTTATTGTAAAAATGTGGTCTGTAGTAGTTGGAGACGATTCTACAATGTGCTCTTGCAGTGTACAATTTAGTTTTGAGTACACTGCATTATGCAACCTGCAATTAGTTTGTGATACCAAGTCAACTGAACTATCGAGGCGTGCCTTTGTACGCGACATCTCAACAAGGGTTTTAAAAAAAAAATCCAAGTTTATACAATTCGGATGCGTGCAGGAAGCGTAGTTGAAGTCACTGGTTCCAGATGGGCCGTGGTGGAGAGATGTTATCTCCCCAGCCTGGTACGCAAGAAGTCATAGGTTCCATCCCGACCCTAACGCCTGTATATTTTGGAGTTTGCAAGTTCTCCCCGTGGTCGCGTGGATTTTTCTCCAGGTCCACCGGTTTTCCCTCCACATTTTGAAACAACATGCGTTGAGAGTACTGTATTTGGCTGTTATGCATTTTTTCCCGGCATAATAAACCACTTAGTTGAACTATCATTTGTGGCAAAGAAACTTCTGAAGAAAAAGCTATATAGCTCAGTGGGCCTTACCTGGTTAAATAAATGTTTAGTCTGTTTACAATAACGTATTCATCTCCACTCGTGTTTCTCTCCCACTTTGCCAAACCCTTGCTGCCCTCCCCCCCAACACCTGAAAACGTGATATAGATGGCGGGGTTCCTGGGGGACTTTGGCCTAGAGAATGGGTCCCGGCTGTCGGTGCCGGAGCAGGTCGGGTTGATGGCTGCCAGCGCTTACCAACCAGAGAACGGAGACTTTGGTCTAATGCCACCTCCGCCATCGCTGCTTCAGCAACATCACCAACACCAGCCACAGCCACAGACTCCACTTGGGAAAAAGGCTCGCACTCCTAAGAAGTCTACATCTCCCACAGCCACACCCAAGCAAGTGGTCACCCTTCTTTTTTAAATCCTTTATATTAAGTTCACTTGCTTGCTTGCGCGCTTACGACCGTGCAAATCTTTCTGTCGTTTTTTAACCCACTTCCCGTGATCCAATCGAGCTGACATTTTCCACACAGACTCGTTGTGCGTGACAATTTTCGTGAAAATTTTTCTCTAAATTGTACACTTTTTAGGAAAAAAAAAATGATATTTAATTACCAATTGCTTAATGGTGGCAGGCAATCATCTGACCCATAGGTGGCAGCCATCTCAAACCAGAGGATGAGAGGACTCCAGCCGCCACGCATATAAAGGATTTATAGTGAAAAACTTTTTTTTTACGGGTTAATTTATTTGTGTATATGCCCTTGATGGGTTTACTGTATTTGGCTCGAAAAAAATGTGACTTACAAAGAGATACTGGACCTCCATGGCGATTCTTTGTGACAGCTTAGAATTGATTTCGTTTTCAATTAAAAGTGTGCTTTACATTGCGAGGTATTTGGCAAGAAGCTCTTCAAAATAATGAGTGATTCGTGTAATTGATCAGCTGGCTATGTAGCCATGACTTTTGTCAAAGTTCTGTTCAAATTACGGGTGCGAAAGGGTAATTTGGGAAACCTAAATTCAGATTAACCCAAATATAATTGAATAAGGGCAGTGCAAATATATTAATTAAGATGCTGATTGTATTCTACCTTGAATCTTTAAGTAGAAAATACATAAGGCATTAATTTCCAGGAAGTAAATAGAAGCCATGGTCTTGCCAATGCAATATGCCACAAGGTATGAGCTGGGTTTGTTATTTGTTAACCAGAAAGCGAGGCCGTCCTGCTGGTACCACCAAAGCTGCGGGCTTTAGGACAAGCACAGGACGCCCACCTGGCACCACCAAGGCAGCAGGCTACAGAACCAGCACTGGACGCCCACCTGGCACCACCAAGGCTGCCGGATACAGGACCAGCCCTGGACGACCTCCGCATCATCACTTGGTACATGTTGCCATATTCATCTAGCTATGAATAATCTAGAGTCAAACTATCCTGGTTGTAGATGAGCCATGCTCATTTTCAGCTTTTACACACACACACTGGTGTAATTAGTTACGTTTCTTGTCTGGGAGTCCGTGCATCAGTTGGCAAGTAAACGGATTACCTTAAGCTATTAAAACAGATTATACATTCAACGTCTTCAACCCAATTCTACATAGGTAAACAATACATTTGTTCAAAAAGCATAATTGTACATGTTTCATACCAACTGGGACACTTGACTGTATTGGCCTGAGGAATGTTCTGCTACCATGGCACTCAAGTAGCTCTTCTTTAACACGAGAGGTCTCCCATGTAAAGAAAATGTGAATATAGATAGGCTCTTACATAGTCAAATTTGGTTCTGTTTTAGAAGCTCCAATTGCCAAGAGGGCTACAAGCAGCAAAACTTGTAATGCTGATAAATATGCATTGTTTGTATGGGCCAGAGCTCATTTAACATATCAAAACTAGAATATTGTTGCAATGTTTAGAGTTGTACGGTTGTTTTTTTCTGCAATTAAGTAGTGTGTACCCTATTTTGTACCAAGTCAACCTTGCAAACTGACTGGTTTAATTATCCCCCCACCAAGTTTAAAATTAATTGCACTGAAATATGTATATGCTCTCATGTCTATGTTCCTCGCCTTCACGAATCTGCACTGTGATCAACATGGGTATATATGGCGAAATAACCCCCTGAACCAACATTGCAAGGGGAGGCTCTTCATCAAGCAGTTGTTTAACAAAGGCTGTTGCACATGTACGTTATCATATGTAAATGTACCTATTTAAATCTTGGGTTATATAATGAATTTTCCAACAATTTGTGAGTCCTGTTTGTGTAGAACGTTTTTCTTGGAATGGTATGTGCTTACTTTGCGGTCGGGTCACCCGGGTTGTGTTGTGTTGTGCAGCATGTGAAGGGATCTCCGGCCCGTGGAGGGGCACAGGGCCCAGTACGGGCATCTCCTCAACTCAAGGAGCAGCACGGATCGGCGGAAGGGCTGTGGCACGCCAGCTCGGAGGCGGTTGCTGAAGCTGTGAGGGCGGTGACGGCACACGGACAGAGCGGGGAGCTGTCACAAGCGATGGGGCACCGGTGCTTTGGTTTAGGGGAACAGAGTTAACCCTTTTAACGACAGCACTCTTTTTAATTTTGAGAATGATGCTTCGGGTAAGTGTCCATTTTGGGGAACAAAAAAAATGTTTGGCTGGCATCTGCAAGATATATATTGATTTAATTTGGATACATCTGTGTGTTACTGTAATATTTTAATGATCTGTTGGGTTGTTGCTTATCTTTAGGTAAAGAAATGTCGATAAAAGGGTTACAAACAGCACAGTTCAAGGTTATGTTGAGTTTGGCAATGCCCAAGTAAAAAAAGCAACTCACAATATTTACCGAGAGTATTTTCTTTTAAAAACATTCCAGGTAAACCACTTCTGACAAATCTTCGTTCAGGGTTTGCCTGATTAATGTTTCCTTGGACTGTGCTGGTACAGTAGTTGAACCAAATATTAAGTTACTGTAATATCAAAAAAGATATGTCCATATTTATACTGCAGATGTTGATCCGTGTGGTCTTATACAATTGCTAACATTACACCAAATGACATGCAATAAACGTAGCAAAATTTTTTCCTTCAACGGTGAATACGCTTCTAATGCCAACTGCTGTATTATCAAAATTAAGTTGCTTAAACTTATAAGATACATAAATTTGGATTTTTTAAAACTTTAATTGCTTTTCAGATAGTCTATTAAGTCTAATGAATCATTAAAAATGACCATATTATGCTGTTTAACCGTTAGATCTGACTTGTGCTTTTTGGTGGTATTTTAGCCCCAGCTTCCTATTGTCAGTTGTACAGCTTTGCAGGGCATATACACACTTACCATGATTTGAATAGCTTTTATTAATGTCACGTCAATCGAAAAGGTCAGTCTTTTGGTGTAGCTCTCTTCGTCATCGTACGTGCCCCTTCACACTTGGTGTGCAGAGTGCAGCCTTCCTACTAGGATAATGTTAACCTCATCACCGTTTGAGAAGTGCTTGTATAAAAACTGCCGTAGTTACCAGTAGAATGCTCGCAGGCACTTTGCCACATTTTTTAGACGTAAAATGTCCATTCTATATGCTTTTATCTTTGTGTATCCATTGTGGTGTACTGTATGCTGTATTTTGTAGTTGCAAATCAAATATAAAAGTGCTTTTTTTCCACGTTTAGTATATCTGAAATCACAATACATGCAGCTGACGTCTATAAAACGGATGCGTATGGGCTACTTGGTCACGATTCATGATTTGCATTGATACATAATAATTGTCATTGGCATTTCATATACAGTATGTACACAACTAATTCCACTGGCCAGCAATTAATCTCTTGCAGTCACGAAAAACTCATGTATACATTGCATGCGTTACACAACATGTTTACGCTTTTAATAAAACATGCAGGTATTTGTTTCCGTAATTGAAGCATTTTCCGTTTTTTTTGCTGTGTGGTGGTACATTTGGGAAGAGCAATTCACCTGCGGTATTCGATGAGACGAGTATAATTGTCATTGTGTGATTGTCAGGAATGCATGCTAAATCCTTAGGTCGCTTAACCCTCTATTAAATGCTTGGCAAAGCACGAGTGTATATTTTTCACATTTCCACTTTAGTGAGCTACGTTGCGTGTACTGGTATTTTCTTACGTTGTTAATAAAAAAAAATCTGCAATTGGGTTTTTATCTCAATTTGTAAAAGGTCTAATGTGGGTAGCAGATTATGCGCACATCATTAGTCACTCGCGGTTCCACACGCGCGCAGCGCCGAAGCTGTTGCACTTTGTTGATCAAATCCCATTACAAAAAGGAACCAGGATGTTCGGTTTCAATTTGGTCCGGCAGATGGCGCTCAATACACGTGTGACAATTGTCCCACGGCATTGACTCGATAAATCGTGTGTCGCGTCGCTGGAACGAGAAGAATTGCATTTTACTAAATACATGCTACGTCCAGTGGGATTTTAAATGCTGACATGAACTAGATAGCTTTGATGATATTTCTGCACATTTAATAAGACGCATAATTCAAAACCTTGCCATCCTTCATTATCGCCATTAAGACCAATGTGGCACAAACATTGAGTGATAATTAGGTATTTTAGGGGGGGGGGAAACTTGCTGTGCACCTTATTAACCGTTTGCATAATTTAAAATAGAAAAGTGCAGCGTTCTTAAATCTACCCACATCAAAGCCCCAACCTTAAAATATGTCACTTCAAATAAAACGGGACATCCCATTTTATAGCCAATGCACATCAATGTGGGCGCCATGGTGTGATGCAAGAATATAATATTCTTAAGTTTGAAGTATCGTCAAAGCGTAAGACCCACATAATGTGGGAAGCCCTCATCCAGCAGTGGAAGGGCTGCACGTTTACAGAAGTGTCAAGGTTTTTTTTTAAATACACATTTCATTCGAGAACAGGAAACAATTCGTCGATTAATATCAACACTCTTAACGTCCAATAATATTTTTTAAAATTAAAATTATAATCTGCTCATGTTACACTTAGGGCTGATCTATGCCGCAAATAAGGGCCATTGCTAGAAACGTCGACGATTATTGTTTGCTTTTCTGGGCAGTGTTGGGTTTTAAAAAAAGTGTACTTCGGTTCATGGAGTGAATGTAACACTAAATAACAAAACAATGAAGTTTTTTTTTTAATGGAACCCTCGGTACAGAATCGTAACAAATGAATCAAATAGACGTCGTGAGGGTATGAACAGGATCGCCATTACACAGCAGCTCTCTCTCTCACATAGCTCAAACAAAACACGGAATTGTACATCGTAGCTGACATCTGTCCAAGTCGATATAAATTCACCAACATGACGTGCCAGACGTTTGTCTGTGCTTAGGGCGTCCAAGAGATTGTATGTATATAAATACATCAACATCACGCAAGCACAAACCCAGTACAGCGTATGAATTCTTCTTCAGGGGTGATGTTTATTCACACAAGAGCCGCGTCGATCATGCTCGTTGGTGAATGCGAGGCGCATAGACGTTGGAGCATAGTACAGTGCAACAATGGATATTGCTACACTGCCCTCTGTTGACAACGTAACCATGATAATTGTTTTTTACCCTTCTATCTGGCAACAACACTGACACCTTATTTTTACAAGGAGTCATGTTTGCATAGACCACAATACCTGCAGCCATAATGCAAAAAAAACATAACTCTGATAATGTATGCACTGTCCTTGAAGTTGATTTGCCCACACCCGAGACAGCTTTCCTTAGAGCCTAGTCTCACACGGGTTGGACCAAATGACGCCAAAAGGCACACAACTCAAAGACAATGCACCATCAGAGTATGAGAGCTCGGGGTAAGCATTTACACCATTGGAACCTCATTTGCCAGTAAAAAATTGTTGCCAGATAGAAGGGTAAAAAACCAATTATCATATTTTTTACTGGCAAATGAGGTTACAATAACGTAACCATGTGCAAGCTACCCCACGTCTCCTGTTTTTGTTTATGGTAGTTGTCCATTCAGGCACTATCCAGACATGAGCCAGTCTGGCTACCGAGATGTGGTGAGATTGGGTGTATTCCTGGTGATGTGGTCGTATGCCGATGTTCATTACATTGGGTAGTATCGCGTTAAAAATATATGTTCCTGTATATTCCGCATACAAATGTAAATTAACGTGATTCCGTTTGTATGATAAATACGGTTCTATGAATTGCAGCTATTCGATTCAATAATCGAGCATCCTTTGTACGTATGTTGAACTTCTTTAGCACCGTACGTAGCCAAACGTGCTAATCGAACGTGCGGGGAAGGACAACAAACAACACAACCAGCAGTTCTAAACATCGTGCTGAATGCGGCGGCCTCGAGCTT